ATAACAGTGTGTCTATTTAAGAAAAAGAATAAACTAAATTAGGAAAAGGAAAAAAAGTAATTTAAAAAAAATACAGATTTCAGTATTTTGAGGCTCTGAGCCCCATTTCTTTTCCTCACAGACGACAAAAAAGTCTGACATTATACGATTTTTTACGCTTGATATTGAGTAAGAAGATGTTTTTATGAACCCCACAGCTTCCAAGACCCGACCGGACAAAAAGACGTGTTGCAGGCACGAAACATAGAAATACATTGCTTTTAAAATCGTTCTGTGTGACACGAAAAAAAGGGGAAAATCGTGTTGGTGAACATTAATCAATAGATTAAATGTCGTGACTACAGTATAACACGAAATGCCGTGAGACTGGGTTGGGTGTGGTGCACATCAACTTCTAAAACTCACAATATAGTGTGGTATGTGGTTGTATCATGCCCACTGTGCTCAGGTGTTGGGGCTATGACCTGTAATGTGAATGACCCGGTAAAGTGGCATGCAGATGTGAACCCTTTGTCAATTTTGTTTTAATGTAATGTTGTGAGCAGCAGCGTACATACCCCTGCTCTTTGTTTGGACTTTGAGATCCACTTCATACTGCAGTCTGGTGCTGAGATACAAGCGAGGGAACACCACTGTGTGTCTCACATCAAACGACACTCGCTATGGGGATGATTACAGCTGTTCGCCTAGAGAAACATGATGCTCTTTTATGTTTATTTTTATTGTGAATAGGCTTTAATGTCTGCATGAAGTTTAATTTACATCTGTTCATGTTCATTTGCTGGATGGTGCGCCTGAAAGCAGTTTTGCCATTTGTAATTGCTCGACTATTATAGGGTGGTGCAGTGATGAGGTATATTTGTTGGCCGACCCGGAAGACAAAAGCAATGGGATTTTTCTATTGGATTTTGGAATATTGCAGAAAATAAGAACTTTGGAAACAAATTATATGAAAAAGGACTCCAATGGAGGAGTAAATGCACTCACCAGAAGAAAAAAGCGAATGTTAGGCTATAAACTACATCACAATGTCACATGGCTGCGCATTGCTACCACTAAGCTATAAGCGGCTAATGTTCAGCATGATAACGTTTGATAGTCTTATTTAGTCACTTTTTAGCAACTGCTGTTTTTAAGACATATAAACTTCAGACACTTAAGTGGAGTATTAACTGATGTATGATGCTTGTGTTAAGCACAGACCAGATTTCAGGCATCTAACCAAAAACACATTCTAAATTTGAGGCGAGTGAACCTGGGAGTGCTAAAATGCTAAACTATTTCAGCTTTTAGGACTCATTCCTGCACCCTCTATCGTTGTGGGTGTAAATGTTTTATGTGCTAAGATTGACTGTTCCAGTAATCAGTACTTATCCTATTTCTTATAAATGCTCTTTCAATGGATAATGCTGTTGTGCTAATGACTTTCTTTTTGCTTGCTGTAGCCATCATGGCGTTCCTGTTTGACCTGAAGGCGCTGGTTGACATGATGTCCATTGGAACTCTGCTGGCCTACTCGCTGGTCGCTGTGTGTGTACTGATCCTCAGGTGGGTACATCTATAAATAAATAAGAAATCTTATTTGGTGCAATATTGGGAAATAGTTTCCCTTTTCTAAAAACCCAGAGGTATGATTAGTGTTATTGCATCACACTGCTGATGTAAGTTCTGTGAATGCTCCCATTGTATGAGTGTGTAGTGGCAGCTTGAGTGAATGGAGGTGTTTACTTCCTGTAATTTTTAAACTCTGAAGCTGCTGTACACCTCTGCACCGAGGGGATTCATCACCACAGCAGCAGCAAACACACAAACCCTGTTCCCCTGGTTTAAACTGTTTGTGAAGTAAAACTAAACCACCCCACTATTACATAACGGAAGTGAGATTGGGAGTCATGTCTTCCTCAATATGTAATCATTTTGATGTGAGTTATACAAGTAATAATATAATTTTTCTCTTGGTCTTTTATTATTGTTATTATTATTAAAAATATATATATGTATATACAGTATATATTATTTCCTTTTTTTATTTAATATTTTGTGTGTTTTTACATTTTTATTTCATTTAAGAGTGATCTTGTGTCATTGCTATTATGTTTTTTTGTTTGTATAGAAAAGAAGCATGACAAGTTGTTGGTCCTATTATTACTAATATAATGTTTTTAAATCAAACTTGTATGCTAATTATGATTATTGTTTTCATTTATTAATTTGATGATGTCTTTTTTTTGTAGAAGGATTTTGTATCTTGGACATTATACTCATTTATATAAAAGCATGCTACGTATGTTTTGTTATACACAATAGCAAACATTTGAAACAATAGCTTTTTGGAGCAGAATAAAGGATACTGTATATATCCAGGTAGTGTTTCTTCCAGACACTGAAAACACCGAACATTATCCTGTATTATTTTTGCCCACTTATGACATTCATTTGTAACTCCTGTGTTGTCCAGGTACCAGCCCGATGGAGCCATGGAGCGGCGGGAAGGCCCGGGTGAGAGGGACTATCTCTCCTCTGAGGAGGGGGAGTCTGACCTCACAGAGTCTGAGTCTCACCTTAACATGCTGAAGCGGGGCAGCTCCACCCTGCAGGCCGTCCTGCACCCGCCTGCCTCTCCCTCTGAGCATTCCTCCAGCGTGGTCAATATGTCTGTCTGTGTGCTCGGTAAGCAAGCTAAGGTAAAAAAAAATATTTTAACTATGTGATAAAAAACGGCAGAATTAAATGTGCGTTTTCAAACCGCAGTGCTGGTAGTGTGCGTGATGAGCTATCTCACCACGTACCACATCTACAACATCCTTGATTTGGAGGGGTGGATCCTGGCCTCGCTATTCGTGTGCCTGCTCATCTTCAGCGGCTGCGTGTTCATGGTCTGCAGGCAGCCTCAGACCACCAAGAAGGTCTCCTTCATGGTAGGTGGCAACTCAATTGGTGCATTATGGGACCAGAGATCCATTGCAAATACATTGATGTTTTTTTTGCTACACAGGTTCCCCTTCTGCCTTTTCTGCCAATTGTGAGCGTATTTGTCAATATTTACCTCATGGTGCAGCTGAGTGGAGATACCTGGATACGTTTCTCTGTGTGGATGGCTGTGGGTGAGTCCCGTGTAAAGCCCTATTATGCTTGTAGGGTAGTCCTGTAGTGTGTTATATAGGTTTTTATGCATGTAAATGGTCTGCCAAGGCTAAAATCCTAAAGTGTCTTTCCTACACGCAAAACCCCCCTGCCTGAAACGCCTCCATTGGAGTCCTTTTACCGTAACATAGTGACAATGGGCAAGCACTCTTAACAAATTGTACATGATAGGCTAAGGGGCGGACATAGCAAACTTCTATCCTGGCCTTGTCTGAAGGTACTCTGTCTATTCAGGGAGCAGTGACCTCCTGTCATATTGTTTGACGTTAGCATATCATATTAGCTAGCTTTATTGCCCTGATAACAATGTAAAACTACAACACAGCATATTTAAAAGTAAATACTTTAAAAGGCAGCATATCAAAGTCAACAACATCTACCAACAGTCATAGTCCTTAAACCCTTAGTAATTCTGTTGTCGCAGGTTAGATTGTCCAAATAAAAGAAAATTGCTTTGGTCCTTGAGAAGCTACATTAGCCTTAGCATCTACTGCGTCCAAAAATATGGTCAGTAAACTATTTACCTTCAGATTAAGTCCTACTACCTAATTTGGGTGTTGTTGTCAAGCTAAACTAACTGTCTACTGCCTCTTGCTTCATGTTTAGTGAAAATACATGAGAGTTGTATTGACCTTCAGATCTTAATCTAAGCAAGAAGGCAAGCATTTCCAAAAATGTCCAACTCAATCACAAAAAATGTGTTTCCTTAGCCAGTTTTTTTTAGCATCTCACATTTCTTCCATTATCCTAGGCTTCTTGATCTACTTTGGCTACGGCATGTGGCACAGTGTTGAGCGCCAGCGCAAACTCCAGGGCCCTTCAAACAGCAACAACCAGGAACACAAGAAGGCCGGCGGGGAGAAGCAGGCGGCAGGAGGAAAAGACCAGGAGGGTTTCATCTGCCCAGAAAAAACCAGCCAGTGTTAAAAGTAAAAGACTCTGTGAGGCGACAGATGCATAAAAGCAAACCGCAGCTCTGCCTTGATGCACCTGTTCATACAGCTTCACCACGTGTGCCTCATTCTCTAGCACATTCAGCCTGTGAGGGCAGCGTCAGTTCTCTGTATCAGGGGCAGCATGATGCTGAGCTGCTGCATCACTGAGATGGAAACACATCCTGTAGATCACAATGTGCTTTATGGACAGCATGGAGGCAGAAATAAAAGGACAGGTAACACACTGGAGAGTGATGTTCATTTACTTTAACATTGAATCAGTCGATTGAAGACTGCAGCGACACTTTCTCTTTCTTCATGGACATTTTAGTGCATGAAACACTTTTTGTCTTTTCTATCAATCTCTGTATTTGTTATCTTTAGAAGCCCAGTACGGAGCCCCCTAGGGGACATGGAGAAGAAAAAAACTATATTTGAAAAAAATATATATGTTTTGCGAGATATCGCAAACCCTTGGCGAGATCTCGCAATACTTTTGCGAGATCTCGCAAAACTTTGCATTTAGCTCAATGTACTTCCTGGTCAGTTCGGCTGCTACGGCAACACAGAAACCACAACAATGGAGCGGTTCATCGATTTTACTTTGAGCTTGGCCTTAAATATAAAGATATAACATCAGTGCTTGGCAATAGGCACGGGTTTCACACATAGACTGTATATATAAAGGGTTTCACATAAGTGAAGACACCTCAAGAGAACACTCAGAGCGAGGGGACATGCACGTCCCTCTGAGCTGAGTTAGTGACAGATTCGAATTTCGCGGATCAATAACTCATGAACATAACGTTGTAAAAATACAAACAACGAGCTACAGAGTCGTTTTTATCAGAAAAGTTCGATACTTGCCGTCATCCGAGCTAAACATCAAGAATTGGTCACACTCTGCAGCTTGAGAAGGGAGAAGAGTGCTTAGGGAACGTCTACAAACTGCAACGGGGTTTTGCGAGATCTCGCTCGCAAAACTTTTTCTTTTTTTTTTTGTTCAAATAATTTTTTTTCCCTTCTCTATGTCCCCTAGGGGGCTCCGTACTGTAGTAATATGGATTGATTATCCTAGCCAAACCTTTTTCTTAAGTCATATTAACCACCAAATGTTTTATTTCTTTTGTCGTCACACTTGCATATTAGGGCTTCCGTATCGTCAGGCATGTACATGTGGGTTTTTGAATGTGAAATCTTGGAAATCTGTGTTATCCTTTCATTGCTCCAGAGTATTATTATTAGATTTTGATACACCAATTATGTACTACTATTAAAAGTAACGTTAGTTTTTGGTAGGGACTCGTTGTTCTTTAACATAAGTGTAGGATGCTGAAAAAGTAGCAGCGTTAGCTTTAATGCCCATCATCATAAGGTTAACATATATTATAGAACTGTTTTGTGCATAATTGTTTTATATGCATACATTTGAAATGTTTATATATGTATAAAAAGATCAGCATTTAGACCAATGTACAATATGTTCAATAGTTTTTTAGGTAGTTAACATGTTTTGACTCAGCTGATGGAAGTACGCCAAGTGCTTCTGTAGGTGTTATGTAACAGATCATATCAATCTTTGCCGTAGGGTCATTGAGGTAACTGTAGCTTTATTCAACACAGGGTTCATTTTTATATATTTGCTTGGATGTGTTTTTATCAATGGACTGTTACAGCTGAATATGAAAATTGTTGTTTGATACAGAACTCGACCCGAGAAGTATTTTTAATCGTAGTACTTTTCACTCTATCAGACTATGACACTGTATGATATGTTGTGCTATTTTTTTTTGATATTTTAGCCTTCAGAGACTTAATTAGACTTTGAAACAACATATTAAAAGTTGAAAGTATTACTGTATAGTAGGTCTGGATTGAGACACAATTTAGCAATCATTTTCCCAGGTTGTCCTTCTTCAAAGCCTGGAGCGTGTTCTCAATGTTCAAACCGGTTTGAACATTGAGACATTTTGTGCTGAACTAAATCAAGTATCAAATCTTTAATTTCTTCCTCTGAGGCCACCTTTTTTTTTCTTTTTTCTATTAACTGTAAGTCTTATTGAGCACCAGTGTTTCACACTAAGCCTATACTCTTTCATGAGGTCACACACTGAGGCTGTAGGATGTTGGTGATTGGTTGAAATGTGCAGTGGTTTAAATGAATGTGGAACAAATTCAGAAGCTAGTCTCAAGAGAAGTAATGTAACTGTACTGAAGCTATACATTAACATTGATGTTAAAGTAAATAGAGGTTATGGTGCCATGATGTAGTATCACTGCAAAGACAAAATACTATAATGTATTTTCCAGTAGAATCGTGTTTAGTATTTTCTTTTTTTAAATTACAATGTGGTTGAATTTCAGTCCCAATTTTTATTGTAAATAAATGTATTCAAAAAAATACCTTTCAAACTAATTTAAATTAAATCTGGTGGAAAGTATTTTGAATATAGCTGTCGCCCCCATGTGGCCATTTCTGCAAAGCTTTTCAATGTAAATGCATCCGGACACTCAGGCTACTTTTTTGTAAACATACTATATGTAATAATTCTCCATTCAAAATCCTATTTAGGTAAAATAATAAATACGGAAGAGGATTAGGGCCACATCAGATTACTTTTGATGGAGATCTGACCCAAAGTGTTGGCTTTTGTTTTGTTCTGAGATTAAAGATCCTCTATTAAACTGTTTTTAATCAATATATTATAGGTCTCAGATATATACAAAACATGTCTCTGAAGTGTTTGGCTCGAAATACCAAACATATCATGCATTGTAGCATCCCATAAACCTCTCTGTTTCAGCCCTGTTTCAAAAGTGCTGATTCTCTGTCTTTTACTTTAGATGAAAATAAGGTGCCACTCGCCACGCCCCTCTGAGAGATATTTGGTTAACCCTTATTAGATGCATAAGTGGGTCTTTTTGGACCCGGTGAGGTGGTTTTCTTGAAGTATCTTTGTAAGTATCATTTTTTTATCATTTCATATTCCAGCTATCCCTAAAAAACATGTTTTGGATATCATGCCATTCAAAATGTAAATTTTAAGAAATTGTAGTTTTTGTATTACTACCCCAAGCTTCCATAAGTGGGTCAAAAATGACCCGCATGCATTTTCTATGGAATCCTATGGGAACCTTTGATTCTTTTCACCTGGCTGTCAGGAATACATTCACTGTAGACCGCACAGACTACATCACAAGCGACACCTCTCAGGAAGATTATTTTACACAGCAAGATCTGATACCTGTCAGTATAATAATAATAATAATACATTATATTTGTATAGGGCTTTTCAAGGACTCAAAATCGCTTTACAATATACAGTAAGTGAAAGGTTATAGGATGGGTGGGGGGTATAGGACTATCAAACTTGATCAACCGTCATGGATTGATGGGGGGTGCATGGGCTATGAGTAGACAGAGGAGAAGAGATGAGTTTTGAAAAGGGACTGGAATACTGTGGGTCTCAAAATAGCGGAGATCTTTGGGACAATATGTTCAAAACTTTTT